TATATAAAGTAATATATATATAATAAGAGCTAAGAGTATTATTAGCTCTTGCTAGGATGTTTCTCTCTTCTTTCTCTCCCAGCGAATGCTATTCTCTCATTCCCTGACCTTTCCGTCCCTTTTCTTCTGCCTCTTACTTATGCATTCATCCATGCCTTGAAGAACGCCTTCCCCTCCGGCTGAGCTACGAGCTCCTTCCTTCCCTGCTACGGTACGCGCTCCCGCATAGTTGCATTTCTTCATGCGACGCATGTCTCCCCTCCCTTAATCTGATTGCGAGTAGGATAATAAATACTGTTATGAATCAACTTCTGACATGATGTATGTGCGGGGCCGCACACCGTGCGCGGTTGATTTATGAGCAAATGCAGTTAGTAGTTATATTAAATAGCCGGCGAAGGCGAGAGTGAATGACCCGGATGGATATAACTTTCTGCCCCGTGGCGGTGTGGGGTGTGTGATGGATAACTCGGCATGCCCCGTGGCCTCTCGGGCTGCGTGACCGTATTTCTACATGATTCTGGGCGTGTAGATCGCCGGCTAGAAACACAAGTAAGAAAACGTAGCGGTAGTGTCTAGAGACACACCTATATATATATACAATGTCTGTCTGTCTCCTGCAAAAACAGCTAGGAGAATTTTAATAACCCGCCGCTAACTGGTTACAGTAGTTTCTACCGGGTAGAATGGGTCCGGGTGGAGTCAAGCCAGCTTGAAGGAAAGAAAGTTAACAGCGGAGAGACGCAACAGAGGGGAGATAGTAGAGAAGCTGTCTCCGAGGCCGCGATAGAACGAAGTCTCACACAAAGGCAGAGAGAGAGAGAGAGAGAGAGAGGTTCAGGCGAGGAAATGAGAAGCCATGTCAGAGATGAATGCTGCTGCCGCGGAGCATGCTAGCATCATGATGCTCATCCTCCTCATCCATGCATACCGCGCGCCTTAACGCGATGCACGCGGGGTATCATAGCGATGCATGCTGCTGCTGCTGCTGCTGCTGCGGAGCATCATGTTGTGTGCCGGCACATAAATATCAAGGGTTAAGAAAAGTTAGGGTTAAAGGTAGAGATAGAGGTAGAGTTGCAAGGCTTGGCTGCTGCCGTCGCTGCTGCTACAGCTGCTGCCGCCGCCGCCGCTGCTGCTGGCGTTACTACAGCTACTGCTACTGCTACTGCTGCTACTACTTCTTTGATGTGACGCTAGTTTTTCTTTACAATCCCATTAGGTCGGTGAGACGCATGCGCGGGCAGGCGGACCTTTCTCTGTCCACAGATAAGCCGCGCCGAGCAATATTGGAATTGGATCGAGTTTGCTGGCTTGCCCGAGTAACGACCTGAAGGTGTAGCCTAGTGAGCGATAGTGGGTGAGGACGGTGGAAGCTAGGGAGGGGGTGATGTGAAAGGGGAGGGCAGGCGGAGGGTAATTGAGTTGGCGGTAGATGGAAAGAGGGATGGAGATCAGGGAAGCAGGGAGGGATGGCTTAGGAGGTGAAGAGGAAGAGGGGTGAGACAGACCGCGAGATAACGAAAGGGAAAGAGAGGGGGAGAGCGCGAGAGCGAGAGCGCGCGCGAGGGAGAGATAGAGTGAGTAAGGGTAAAAAATATAGAGGCAATGAGGTTTCTGACCGTTTCTCATCGCCAGTGTGTAATCGAAGGCAAAGACCGTATCACGCATGAGATTGGACACAGGAAAATGTCCCGAATGCCATCGAGTGGTTGTGGTGTATATGACTGACAACAGTGTTCCGTACAACGATAGCTGAAGATGCCCAACCCACCATCTACTGGCTCGAGTAACCAGTAGTCCGTTTGTACGATAAGATTTTTGTTAACTACCACTCTCTCTCTCTCTCTCCTTCGCCCTGTCTTTATCTCCCGCTCGCTTTATCTTTCTGTCTCCCCTTTCCATCTCTCTCTCTCTCTCTCTCTCTCTCTCTCTCTCTCTCTCTCTCTTTCATCGTCTCCTATCTCTTCTTTTTCTCCCTCTCTCACCTTTTTTTTCTCTCTCTCCGTCTCTCTCTCTCCCCTTTCTTTGTCGTTTATCATCATGCAGCTGATTTCAACTGTGTCGGTGTAAACGGCTGGAGCAAACGTGTCCGTCCACGCAAGTTGCCATGGTAACGATAGCCAGGGTACCGTGACGCTATCGGTTTCTTGCTTGGCTTCACTTTGCATCGGAGAGATGACGCTGAACACGCGAGAGAGAGGCGGCGAAAACCACGATGGATGCATTCCTCCTCATCCTCCTCCTCCTCCTCCTCCTCATCCACCCCAGCATCCCGCCGCCGATTGCACGAGTCATCTAATAATATTGGTGTTGATAACATTATTCACGATGTTGACGACTATTGTATAACGAGCTCCATCTATACCGACCAGGAAGCTCCAGTATATATGCTACGTTTTTCTTCTGCTGAATTTGCCTAATTAACGAATCGACGGGTTTGAGAATGGAGATCGGTTCACAGTAGTAATTTCACATTTATAATCTTATGTGATGTGGATTTCTGCGAGTTTTTCTGATCCCTTAAATGATATTTTAATAATTTCATATCGTATAATTGCCTTCGCCTCATCGTACTCTTCATCCGCAATTTGATTGTACTCCGCCAATTCCCGTCTTCATAAAAGCTGTATTACTGGATTTAACGAATCAATACAGATCGCTGAATGTATAATAATTGTAGCCCGAGATTTTGCGCGCATGCGCAGATTCTGCCGCGTCTTTTCCGGCGTAACTAATCGATGTACATAGCTACCGCACTCACTATGGGAGGAGTTTCTATGGAAATGGTTTTCTGTGGCTCAGTACGTGGCCACACACGATCACACACCACATACACATTGGCACACAACCGCACGCACGCACGCACGCACGCGCGCACGCATAATCGCATACACGCGTGAGTACGTCATGTGTGCACGACGGTTTTACATCATCCTTCCATTATTTCCCAAAACAACGGCTGTATATTATTAT